TCATAGTTCTTTCATACGAGCTTGATGAGGAATTGAGGATGCTTGTAAGTTGTAACCGCTCCGTTAACTGTTATGTGCCTGTCATCGAGAGTTGTGAGAATTAACGTAGGTTAGTTGACGGTTTGGTCTTGATATGGAAACTTGCCAACGGCCAACCGTCTCACCTATACCCATAATTTCATCTGCTGACGGTTGGTTGATTCCTTGAAGAACTAAAAAATTTGGCTTTGCCTTAAAAAAAAAAAAAAACATTTTGCTTCAAAAAAGAATTGTTTTGGGCTTACAAACACATCCTTCAAACGAATTATGTATCTTTAGCTATTTGATTGCGATTTTGCGAGTCCAGAACTAGTTCAATGAACACTTAGTATTCTGACAACTGTAACAAAAATTAGTTTTTAATATCTTTTAAGGATAGATTGAGGTATTTTAAGGAATGCAAATGGATCCGATCGGATCAGATTCGAATCAGAGTATATTTGGATTTGATCTGACACTGTTTATATCGGATCTAATCCAATCCAAATATCTGATCGGATTTGATAGGACTCGATTTGAATTTGAATTTTGTTAATAAGTCAAATCTTCGAATCTGATCCAATCTGACTTGTTTTCTTTAAAAATTAATAAATTATTAAAATATACTAATTTAAATAAAGTAAAAACAAAAAATACAAGGATTTTTTAATTACTTTCATCATATATATACATGTTTTTTATAAAAAAAATAAATAATATAATAAATTTATAAAAATATATTTATAAATAAATAAATAACATATATATATATATTTACATTTATATTTATAAATATATGATATGTATCGGATTGGATAGGGTGTGATCCGAATCCGATCCAATTTCTGATTAGATCCTATTATCTGATCAGATCCGAACAATGGTGATCCAAATTCGACCAAATAGGATTGGAACTCAAATCAGATAAAATCATGATCCGATCCGTTTGCACCCCTAGTGAGTAGGTAGAAAAAAAGTGAGTAGAAAAATTGGATTCCCTAGGCAAAACCACACTCCCGAGCAAATAGGTTCAAAAGGTGCAAAAACCTCCAAATGATGACATGTACACAACATAATCCATTAGAGAGAGGCTGCATGGAGTCCGGATCGATTACTCACAAAGCACACCTCACACCAACCTCAAAGCATGTCCTAGCTGCACATTGGGAACATCTCCCATACTTGTATTTATTATTTATGATGAGAATAGGAGATATTCCCAATCCAGAGTGGAATGTGGCTGTGAGGTTTGCATGAGGCACTGTCCGTGAGGAGCAGATCCCAATTCAGCTGCATGTATCAAAATGACATGCATAGATTCCATTAAATGAATGTACATCCATTATGGATACACATTCTAGATTTACTCCTCACACTAACCTCACAGAATGTTGCAGCCATACATTGAGAACATCTCAAAGTGGATGACAACATACAAATACAAGAAATGTTGTGGCTGCAACTAATTAATGTGATATTGGTGTGAGGAGCAGATCCAGATTTCACTTTCCTAGCTTATTGATAATGTATATTGCAGAATCAAAGGATAAACCTTTCCTCTTGCACAGGCATACAAGCTTTACACTTACAAGTGGAGGGATAGAGTTCTCAATGGGTCGGATCTCATTCAGGACAGTATGTATATCAGTCCCAAACAAAATATTTAATCGCTTCTATAGTCTCAATTATTAATCGGGACAATTAAAAAGAATTATTAATTGAGACAATTGGGTCTGACCCAATTAGACCCAACTATACTTGAAGTCTCTGATACCTATGATAATAACTTAAATTTTATTTTTGATAATATCAACATAATAAAATGATTAATCAAAATTATCTTATATATTATCTATAAAATCTATCCTTTTAAACATAAAATATAACAGAAATTATAAAATATATATAAAACATAAATTATAAAATATATAAAAATGATTAACAAAAATGTATTATTAACCATATAATCTCTTCGGAGCATAAGAAGTAATACCAGCCCAATTATTAATCGGAATAAAACCACAGAACCAGATGTGATATCGTTTGATCGGTTTGGTTCCACTGGGTAGACCCGACCATTGGCAGCCCTAATCAGGTGTAAATTTTTTACTTGACCAACCAACTTTCTTAGATTTCGGGACATGGGTTCGGTAATGCGTAAATGAGGTAATTTGATTGTATTGATTAAGTGATGTTAGATGTGGTCCATTGAGTCATGGCAACTTAACTCGAGATTAGCCCATTTATTGGACTAGACCTGACCTGAGCTTATCCCATGTGTTAAATTTATACTACCTTAAAAAATACGAATAGCTTTAAGAATATTTTTAGAATTTTTTGAGTACAATATTTATTCCTCTATATTTAAATTTATTGATAAAAAATGAGGGCAAATAGGGTAATTAGTTATTGATATTAAATGAATTAAAAAAAAATCATTTTAGATATTGATGCATTCAATTCCCTCTCACTAAATTCAATATTTAAGATATTACTTTGCATTCACCTTCATTCAATCGTATATTTAAGGTATTTTGGTTTTTTCTCATTATTAAATTCTATTAATTAAATTCATACATAATAAACTAATAATTCTAATAACATAAAAAATTATACTTTTAAAATTTACCTAAAAAATAGTATTTTCATCTAGGTGATTGTAAGAAATTAAATCATTTTGGGTCAAATGGGTCAATCCATGTTCCCAAAATTAAATAATAAAATAAAAAAATAGATAAAATGTAAAAATATAGAAATTAAAAAATTGGGAACGCTTTTTTCTGTTTTTTTCTCATTATTAAATTCTATTAGTTAAACCCATAAATAATAAATTAATAATTCTAATAACATAAAAATTTATACTTTTAAAATCTACCTAAAATGGTGTTTTCATCTTGGTGGTTGTTAGAAAATAAAATATTTTGGGTCAAATGGGTCAATCCATGTTGTCACAATTAAATAATAAAATTGAAAAAAGATAAAATATAAAAAAAAAATATATATATATATATATATAGAAATTAAAATAAATTTGAGAATGCTTTTAAGATCATATATTCGTCATATTAAACAATAATAAATATGATTAATAAGAAATATTTTATTAATAATGGAAATGGAATGTAAAATTTAAAATCAACTGAAAATAAAATTATTTTCCTACTCTCTCATTAAGTCCCATATCCAAAGTATATGCTTAATTACTACTACATGAAAATGTCATAAACAATTAAACAGCCATTCGCTCATAACAACACGAGTCAATTGGGCCCATGCCCTCGTGCCCAGTCCATTCAAATTTTAACAAACGTATATATATTAAATATATTCGTGAGTTAAGACATTTAGAAAAATAAAATACAATTAAAATATGAACTCAGATTTTCTGTTCACTTTTTTTTTATTCACTCTACAATTAAAATATGACTCATGAATACCCTAATTAAATTACTAGGGGTTTGGCGTTTCTAAATGGTTGGGATGATGAAAGCAAGGTTCAAAGTATCAATAGTATCAGCCGATATGTGTTATGTCGATGGTTTCCCGATATGCCCCTCCAGGGGTTGTATTGGGTCAGCCACTGGTTCAGAAGGTAACCGGGCCTTAAACTGACCCCTCTGACCTGTTTCAGAAAAAAAAAAAAGGTAAAACCTAAAAAAACTACCGATACAGCCTGATATGCCTCTACCAGCGTACCGAGCGTATCGACATTTTAAACCTTGGATGGAAGATATTTTCTTAGGCTGTTAAAAAAAAGAGTATCGATCTATTTGGTGTTGGTGTGTATTGGTTTTTCTTTTCTTTTTTTTTATATATAAGAGGTTGTGTATCGATATTTTGATCCCTGCTTTGGGACCCAGACTTTGTGCAGAGGCTCAATCAGTGACTCCCTATGCTCACTGCAATTGGAACCGATAGAAATTGAGTCTGAATTTCCTACCCACACGGGCCACACATACCCAATTGCAGCCACAGGTGAAGAATATCTCATCCTTTTACGTGTTATTATCTACAGAACATCTTATCCTTTTTCATGTTTTGTGGGTAGGCATGGATAGAGCTCTTGTATGCAAAAGATCGGGAGTCATAAAAACTTCCTGCAGGAAGGTTGGCAAATCTACCTATAAAAACTTCCTGCTGGAAGGTTGGCAAATCTACCTACAATATTTCAATGAGAATGAATACAGAACTGCTGTAAGTTGGCCTCACCTGTTTGGCCGGTGACTTGGCCACAAACTCACAATCCTATTGGGGTCTTGGGGGTAAACTTAACCCGTCATGTTATGGTTCGGTCAACAACCCATCAACCCGAACATGTAAATCATTGATCATGGTTTTCAAACCGCTATTGACTCAGACGGTCAGGCCGTTCAACCCAAGAATCATCCAGGCTACTGGTTCTGTTTTATCCCATCACGTTCTTGGCCAGAAACCATTGAATCGGTCATTGACCCATTGATTCAGGTGATTGACCCGTCAATCCATTTAAACAAAATGGTTGAACCGTTAACCCAAAAATAAACGGTTTTGGTTCCAGTTCCGAATCGTTTTTTAAAACATTGCCATTGATGCACCTTATCTATTTTGAATTTTTTGTATTGATAATAACATGGATTGACCCGCTGATCTGGATGGCGAACTGTTGACTACTTGATCCAGAGAAAACCCGTCATATTACAAAATTAAATTAATTGGTTCAATCGATAACCCGTTAACCCGGACATATAAACCATTGGCTCAACTGACCCATTCAGTGAGTTACCATGTTTTTTATTATTTTATTAATTTTTTCAATTTTTATATTGATGATAATACGGATTGACCTGTTGATCCGGACGGTTGAACCATTAACCTCTTGACCAAAAAGAAACGGTTCAACCTCCGGGCTGGATTTTAAATCACTGGAAATAAAACAAAAAAAGCACCTTTGGTTAGTTGGGCCAATTTTTAAAAACTGAAACAGGGTGGAAGGCTAGTAATCAGGTTCACAACTGCCATTGGCATCCATCACTATCACAAATACAGTAACACAATAATCAATCTAATTGAATCTACCTAACAAATTACACCAAAAATCATTAAGAACAGAAGAAAAAAAGAGGCAATCGTTAATCAATCAAAGCATACATGGGGTTTCAACTATGGTATCCAATGAAGGTTTCCACATTCGCTGCTTTGAGCATCTCTCGGTAGGTTGCGGTCTTTCTTCATCCGGCGATTCCATTGTTTTAAATTCTGATGGAGTCAAGCAGAAGTCACTGAACGCAGGGAATATCTTTCCGATGTTGTTAGAGCTTCCACGCTTGGTTGCTCTGGATGCCCTGTATGAAAGTGTTTCCATCTCCTCATCTGTAAGCACGGAGTATAGCATATCCATGGGAAGAAGAAAATAGAACTGACCTTGTTCGAGCTCTACGTCGGTAGCTAAGCCAGGAACTCGGTGACCCACGTTGAGATCAGTGGAGTCACAGACGAATTGACAAGGGTTCTCTTGCATGAGCTGACCTGCTTTGATCGGCCTTGTGTATATTTCCATTCTCCCATCACAGAACAGAACCTTCACTGCTCCACCGGTGGCACTGCTAAGAACACAAGATGTATTATTCCCCATAGCACAAATTTTGGATGGAGAGAGAGAGAGATTAACCCATATTAAGGAGTGTGAACCTGATGAATTACATTCACGAGTGTCTGAACTTGTATATTGGCATCTGTAGCGCTGTGGGTCTGGGTTTGAGGGGAATATCTGCGGAGAGAGTCGAGCTGTCAATGGCTCTGGTAGCCTGGTCTGGTTCGGGACAGTGTGGACGGTGGACCAGACCCCAAATCAATTATTAATTGGTTTTATAAGACAAGCCTACAACCGAACCAATTATTAATTATTATATCTGATTTTGACAATTTATAATTAATTTACAAGAATAACAACTTATAACGCATTTTTGATAATCTAACCTTAATATATAATTTATAAGTTGATAAAACAAGTGTTTTTAACCAAATTTATTTTATATGCTGTTTATGAAATTTGCCTATTAGTTCTAGACATAAAATACAACAAAATTATAAGAAAACTAAGAAACCGATCTCAACCCAATTAACATAGTGGTTCAACCGGTACGGTTCTTTTGGGTAGAGAGAAGGAGACAGAGAGAGAACTCAAGTTGAGGTCCTTGAGGACAAAACAAATGACTGAGCATATATAGGGGCTTCCCCACAAGAAATATTCTTCCTTTCGGTTCACCTAACACTGATTAAGCTATGTATAAAAAGAAGAAGAAAGTACTAGAGGAAGAATCAAAATGGGTCCCTGCTCTCTGTTCTTTCCAAATATGCTAGATGGAGTTTCTCCATTATAACACTGGCACTGCACTGTCATCTTCTTTCCAAATAGCTTGCACTTGCAGGATGTTCCTTTGGACATTTAGAAGAATCTGTGTCCACATTTCAACAACTTGGTTTGTTTTATAACCGTTCGATGTACGGGCTTCCCTTTGGGATGGTCAAACAAAAATGTAGATAAAATGGACAACTCAAGATTCTTTACTCGGTCGACCTTCCAAACACTATATATATTATTAGCAGAGAATATATGGGGATTTTTCTAGTACCAGTGGTTGTAACATCCCAGAGCCAGAGGGAAGACACCATATATTAGTTACTTGTTTATCAAGAATATTGCTAGCAAAATCCAATTATATATTAATATTTTGTCTTTGAGGGTTGGATTGAGTACGCTGTGTAAGCAATGAAAGAACAACTTTAGGGATTGAGACATATGGCTTCTAAAGCATCAAACGCCATTGATTATGGTTTCAACAATTTAGGACACCGGTATATTGCTATATATTTATATGGAACTATGGAAGATCACAGCTCGGATTTCTTACCCACAAGAACTCTACCCACCTTACTAATATGATATCGCAGCCACACATCTGGAGATGTTCCTAATACACGGCTGTAACATTTTGTGGGTAGGTGATACGGACACGGAAGATCAACCCATCAACTCTTTGTATATGATTATAATTTATGCTTAGGTTGACTTAAAACCATTCTAGAAGTAGGGTCAATTGTTAGAGTTGGGTTTTTCGCCAATCAGCTGGCATGGATTTACCAACCCTACTAGAATCCAAATCCACAACCACCCATCTTCTTGCAGAAGAGGATTTAGATTGCATTTGTCATGCCTTATTTTAAGGATTCAATTTTTTTATTTAAATCTATATACATTTTAACAGTAAAAAAGAGATAATTCCTTAAAAATAAAAAATGCCAAATACAGTCTTAAATTTAATGGTTCAGAGCTTATTTCCAACACATTGAAGTATCTTGAAAGTAGGCGGAATTGATGTAAGAGGCATCCCATTCTATATAGAGGAGGTGGAATGGGTTCAGACCACGGAAAAGGCAGTCTCTTCACATTGTATGTTAATAGACCCCGTGGGTTATGTGCATCATTCACTAACCCAATAATCCCACTGACTACGTTTAGGATGTCAACGAGTCGGGTTCAGTACGGGTTTGCCTCAATCCTAACCTGATCATCCAGCACTCTAACCTAAAACTGACCTGACCTGGCTTAAAAACACTTGATTCTCGAACATGACCCAACCTTATAGGATTTAACCCGATTCCAACCCAACTTGACCCATATAATTTCAAATGTATTTTTTTAACACATTTTGAAGACCTAAAATACATTAATTTAAGTAAGGAAATTGTTTTGTAGACTTTAAGATGCTATTTTTTCTATTTAAAAAAAAAGAAAATCAAAATCAACATATAAATAAATTATAAGCTTTAAGCCTATAAAATTAGAAGTCAACAAATTGCAAGAATACTTGGTATATATGAAGGGCATCATGACCTGGTGGGGTGGGTAAGCCAAAAACCAAACCCGACTCTGGTCAAAGAATCAAAACCCTAACCTGACTCAGATCAAAGAATCAACATATAAATAAATTATAAGCTTTAAGCCTATAAAGTTAGAAGTCAAAAAATTGCAAGAATACTTGGTATATATGAAGGGCATCATGACCTAGCGGCCAAAAATCAAACCCGACTCGGGTCAAAGAATCAAAACCCAAACCCAACCTTAAACCAAATATACTTGGCCCTATAGGGTTGGGTTAAGCCGAGTTTACCATTTAACCCGACCCACTGACATCCCTACATATAGCAAGTAGGGATCAGCTACCAACAAAAATACTCCCAACACTGTCCTAACGGTCCATCTTAATGGCATATTGAGAATATTTCCTTAGTCATTCATTGGCAGATGTTCCCAATGTACGATTGAAATAGCTAGTTGGAACATTGTTGGGACTGTGTTGGTAGTTTATCCAAATTCAACATATAGCCTTTGGCTCCAATAGGGGCTAAAATGAAACTTGAAACAAAGTAAAATGAAAGCCAAAAGCAATAGTATATCCAAGGTTCAAAATATTGATACATATCATATTGGGGGCTTCGCGATATGCCCCTATAGAGGGTGTATTAAGGTTTTGACCAGTTCAAGGGGTGGACGAACCTTAACTAGATTTGAAAAAAAAAACTACCAATACTACTCAATGCGTATCGATATTTTAAACCTTGAATATACCCCAAATTGCATTCTTCTCACTTGCACTCTTATGTTTTTGAACTTTTTTTATGGTGGGCTACACACCAGGGGTAATCCATACGCCATTGCCTTAAGCGTTTAACTTCAGTCGGTCAAGCCCGTGCTCACACCATTCGAACAACCTTTTGCAACCTTACATTGGGAAAATATCCCCATGAAATAAAGCACATAAGTATGAAGATATTCCCAATGCAAAGCTATAAAGGATGTTCGAATAAGAGTTGCACTGATGGAAGCTGAACTCTTGCCTTAAAACCCTCCCCCAATCATGTTGGCAACGGGAACTGGATCTCTATTGCAATGAAGCAGCAAATGTACCAATTGGACCACCAATCAGTTGCTCTCATGCAAGGTTTTTGAAACTGGACCAAATAGGGAACCGTTATGGGGACCAGTTATCAGGCCGAACAGTCCAACCATCTAGTTCGAATGGACGACCCATTCTGACATAAAAAATAAATAAAAATAAAAAATGGCCAAAAATCGTTGTCCGAGTTGATGGTTTGACCAAATCAACGGTTTAGGCTAGAAAGCGGTTTTGGGTGAAAATGAACTAACTGATTCCTGGTTTTCTAGTCTAACCATCCAGTCTGGTCCGATTTTGAAAACCATGCTCTCATGTATTTGTATTAGTACAAATGAAATTACATTGCAAACAAAGTCATCCTTGGGAATATATTCTAGCGGTGCAACTTAGGTCAAGCAATTGTTAATTTTGAAGGGAATTCTTTAAATGTGCCATCCAATTGGAGACAAATATCCTAACTAAGTCTCAAAGATAGGTGCCGAGCTAGAGACTTGAGCTTGAGTTTGGCTTGAGTCAAAATTTCATAAGCTCAAGCTCGACTATGTGTGTGTGTGTATGTATGTATGTATGTATGTATGTATGTATGTATGTATGTATGTATGTATGTATGTATGTATGTATGTATGTATGTATGTATG